GATTCTTGAAGAACGTCTTCGAGAACTCCAACTGTTCGGGCGTTAATTCCGGTCCCTTTTTGTACGTATTCTTCACTACCTTTCCCTTTGTCTTTTTGTCGCCACTCTTTTCGTCCTTCTCTTCCTTGGCTTTACTGCGACTTTTGACGGTATCCTTCTTCTTGTCATCGCTGGCGCCCGTCTTCGCGATGGCCAGCAGTGTATGCGATAATAATATCATCAAAATTATGCATTTTTTGCTAAACATTTTTGTTTTGTTGTAATTTCTACACAAAAATGTCCGTTTAATTAGTTATTAATCGCCATTAAAATAACACCACATTTAATTAGAAAAGTAATTTTGTTTTATATTCACACAAACCAAATGTTTTTTTCAATGAAATTCAATAACTGTTTTAATACTCACACAATTATTTCTATTTTAATTAAATTAATGTTAAAACTATTAATGAATGAAATGTCTAACATTTATTGATATAATAAATGATCTTTTAATAAGTTTATGCATAATATTTTTATTTAATAAAACAATTAAATTATAAACACTCTTAACATTATTGACAGTATCCTTCAATACAGCGTTTATTGCTATTACAAGTGGTGTTTTCAATGGCCGGATGTATTTGTACCCTGATAAATCCATTACTGCATTCAATTCTGTGGCACATACTCTAACTTAACATTATTGACAGTATCCTTCAATACAGCGTTTATTGCTATTACAAGTGGTGTTTTCAATGGCCGGATGTATTTGTACCCTGATAAATCCATTACTGCATTCAATTCTGTGGCACATACTCTATGGTTAAAATTAAGAATATAAATTTAGAATTCTCATTTAGTCCATTAGATTATAATTTTAATATAAGGTATATAAAATATGTAAAAATCTGTATTGTGATTAAATATTAAGTAGTCAATAAACAGAATATTCTGTAGCGTTAGTAATATTTAAATACTTATAGTTAATAATAATATCGAAAATATAAATAGTATCACATCTTTCTGGTGGCGAAAGTGAGTGAAAGTCGATCCGAGAGCTGTACTGCACTGATGGTCAGCAGTGGTCGACCAAAAGTCAACGCCAGTCATTATATAATTGTCAACATTTTTAAACTCAATAGAGGGTGGAGATTGTTCATTTGCATCTAGACACGTTCCGTGACTACATTTATCAATTAATATAACATTTAAATTGTGTAATTTTTTAAACAATAATAATTTGTTACAAACTGTTTAACACTATCCACATATTGGGCCATAAATCGTAGACTACAGTCAGACCACAGTGTCTTTCCGGCGCCCGTACTCACCGACATTATGTAATCGCTTCCGCAGTTGTTGTCCTCGTCGTGATCCATCCCTAGACTATTGTCACACAATAATATTGTGTCGTTATATATTATATCATTATATTATTGCCATTTTTGACAATATAGGTATTAATGAATATTACAACACACATACTTATGTCCCAATTCATGTGCAGCTACGAACACTGCCCGATAACTCCGTCCCTGGACCAAACAGCAAGGATCTTGGTCAAGTTAGCATTGTTAATTAATAAACATATAGAAAATAAGTTAGGTTACAATTGTAGTTACTCACTAAAGTTTCCACTAGTCCAGTTGCAAGTAGCATTTATATGTGCTAAGCCTATCATTTCAAATATTTATCAAAAATAGATTTTAAATATAATATGAAATGAAAATATGCCAAACCTTGTTCTGAAGTGGATATTATGTCACGATTTACCAAATTATGTCTACAATAATATAGTGATTTATTAATATGTTGTAACATACAATAAGTTACATTTGTATAACTGGAAACATATCAATTTGATCACTCTGTAATAACTGTACGAATGACATGTGACACATAATGTATGGGAAAGGGCGGCAGTGATCAAATTGATGCTTGATCAAATTGATATGTTTCCAGTAATATAAATCACCCTGTGAACAATACAACTGACGAAAAGGAATTATAGTCGTTATAGTTGAATTTAAACCAAGAGCAAAATCGGCTTCTATAGTTATGGCCATTGTGTTTGGAGTTAATAGTGGTGTCATATGGTCTGATTTTTTCAATGACAATATTAATGTCGGCCACTCTTCTAATCTTCTTGTGTCGGTATAAATACGAAACGGAAGTCATTGTCCGATATATAAAGTTATATACATTTTGTTTGACTCCTTTGTATTTGTTTAACAGTGATTCGTCGTAAAACACGGCTAATCTTAACGTAATTTGACCAAGGTACTTTAAATTACTTGCAATTGGCAAATTTCTCGCTTGAACTGAATAGTAAAACTAAATTTAAAGTTTATTTCTAATTTAATTTATTGTTATTATAAATACAATTTTAAATTATATCAGAAATTATATGATAGGAAAAGTGTGTTATTAACAAATATTGAAATATTTACCGCTTTTTCTGTTACAGAATTGCTCTTTCCATGCATTTGTGGTCACATTATTTGTTAATACAATCCATATATAAATAATCATCTGTTAATATATTTACAAATTGTAATCTAATTACATATTAAGTATAATAACAATTTATAAAAATGTTTACAGTGATTCTGTTAGTTATCATGTCCATGGTGGCTTTGGAAATAACTTTTAAAAAACATTGAATGCTGAAACAAATTTGTGTTTTTACTACACTTATGTATAAGTTATACAACGAATTGTTAGATGTGAAAACATTAACAACACATTTAATTAATTTCAATTTATTTTTATTTTTATGCTGTCATATAATACATAGTTTTTGTCAATTAAATTCCGCGTATAATCAACATAAATAATGTGATTGTAATACAATTAATTTTATACTATTTTATGTTAAATCAAACATTAATGGCAATAGCCATCAATACAATGTCCACTCAAACCACACATTGTATTTTCAATGGCCGGGTGTATAGGTATCCGAAATAATCCATTACTGCATTCAATTGCATGACAAACACTCTGTGCAACAATAAATTCATATTATTATTATTACTTATAAGTTATAACAAGAAAATTCATTAATTATTTATTAAATAATTGAAATATGATTTACTAATCTTAAAATCGATGCAAATTTTAAAATACTTTTATTTGCGGTTGAAAGTGGCCATAACTGGAGCCCAACGCTGTCTGGCACTGATGGCTGGCAGTAGTGGACGCATAACTTTTATCACTTATAATATATTTGTCTGTTATATTGAATTCAATTTCGTTTGAATTCGTGCCAGAATTTACATTTAAACACCAAATTTTACTGACAAATAAAATACATTATTGTATTTTGCAATCAATATTATTTATATTGTAATTAAATAGTATTCAAATAGCATTTAAAATGCAGTAAACGGGGTTTTAATCAAACCTTCCTCTAATGCTTTGTAAATATGCGGACATAAACCTAACGCTACAGTCAGACCACTGGTTCTTTCCGGGGCCGGTCTGTCCGGACATTATATGCCCTTTGCCACAGCCAATAATTTCATCATGCTGCATTCCAAGCCTATTCACATAAATTAAAGTTATATACATTTAAGTACTTATTTTTGTGTATAATAATCGCATACAATGACATACGTGTGGCCCAATTCGTGAGCGGTTACATAAACAGCACGAAAATTTCGTCCCTCAACTAAACAACACGGATCTGATTGTATGAATATTATTATTTAATTTTTACATAATAATTTTTAAATTATCATCAACACTCTACCTACTAAACTTTTATATGTATCTGCATTTGTCCAATTACATGCTACATTTTGATGTGCTAGTCCTAGATGAATTGTTTAATTTACAATTTTTAACATTGTACATTGTAACATTGTAAATAATGTACAATACGAGGCAAACCTTGAACTCCTGTGTTTTTCACATCATCCGTTGACCTAATATTATGTCTGCAAATCAATTAAATTCATCATTTAACTTGGTCACTTTACAATGTTTGAATTACTTGCAATATTTGATAGCAAAATGTATCTCATTTACCCTGTTAGTAAAATAGCCGATGTGTACTTTGCATGATCACTGTTTTGTTGAACAAACCACTGACAAAATCTTTTCCTATACATGTCTCCAATCTCTGATCGTTTTATGGATTGTGAAAAGTGGTCTAATTTGTTGATAATAACACTTATGTCTCCGATTTGTCTCATTTTCTTCTGGCGAAATATCATTGAAACACTGCTGAGGACTCTGTATATGAAATCATATAAACGCTTTTTGTTGCCATTATATCGCCTCAAAAGTACCGAATCGTAAAACACGGCTAATCTTATGGTCAGTTTCCCGAAATACTTCACTTTATTTGTAGCCAATACTACTCGCGAGTGAACTAATGGTTTAGATTTTTTATTAAAATTTTGTTATTCTTATATTTTGTATTAAATTATTGTGATATAATTTTTTACTATAAAACTTAATTATAATAGTTTGTGATTTATGGATCATTATTAAAGATAAGTTTAATAGTGCTATGAATTTGATGATAATTTGAATTATATTATGAAAATTATACAACATTTTAAATGTAATTTAATTATACATTACATATACAGTATGTTGTAAAATAGACGTACTATTTATAATCTAATAAAAGTAAAATACATGGTGGAAACGCTAATTAAAAATTGCAAGTTTACAAATAAATAAATGTTTTAAATATTTAACTTATGTTTAAATTTATATTAATATTCAAACCATCGTTTGTTCCGCAAATTGTTTCATCGGTTTTGCTATATTTAACAAATATCACAAAAATATAAATAATTAACTGTAAGGACATTAATATCATTAATATCACTCTATTAAGCATTTAATAAAAATATAATAGGAAATTATTATCATTTTAGTTTAGAAAATTTTATAAAATATAATCGTAATTTATAATTGCATTTTATTTAATAAATAGTTTTAAAATAATTTCAATTGTGATTTATTAATAATTTAATCTGAATCTGACTTATCGTCCAAAACATATTCAAAAACAGCACTTCTAATGAATTTCAATCGTCTTATTTCGCCGACAAATGATCCGAAATATAGAGAAACGGACAGAATATACAGCCATTCGGCTCCGGCAGCGATCACGTGCTGAATATACCCGCCGTCTCTGTCCGTCCACTTCTGTCTTTGAGTTCGAAAATCCTTTTCAAACAAGAGATACGACCAGAAAGTGAACGCAATGTACAGCACAAGCGATAACATGGATATAATTGTGACAAACAGTCGATAATAAGCGACGGACACAGAGTTGATAAGAGGACTGAACCAAAACGAGATCCACGTGTGAATGGCGTACAGAATGGGACCAAATATAAAGTACATGAGGGCTCCCAACGAGTGAAGTCTCAGGTTTTCCATCACTCGGAAAGAGGCGACGGATATGAGAGATATGCTTATGCCTACCGATAGACACATCGAGACGTTATTATAAAACAATATCTTCTCTTTTGTTTTAAGCGAAAGCGATAGTGACTGACAGAACCCGACATTGCGTACAATGGCTAGGATTTGATGATATCTCAACACAATTGTACAGAAAACTGTTCAAATGTTAGATAATAATGTTATTTTGACTCAACACTGGAAGTAATTGATTGAATGTATTATACATGAAATGGCCAACAATGAGATGAGTTCAGCAAAAATGGAGGCTTCGGGTGGTCTTTGGGCGCAATCACTGACGTATGGAAATATCGGTTCAACCACTCCATGATTTACTGCCATTAAATATCTAAGAATTTGTCAACATTTGTTCAAAGATTGAATTAAAGAGCAAACTTAGACTTACGTCAAAACCACTGTAAACGGAGTGCCGATAATCACAGAAACCGGGAATAAAATAAAATAATTCATTGTATAAAAAGCACACAATTGTTTTCCTGTTCTGATCGTTATTTTTTGTTTAAAAATATAAATAAAAGTTATGCTTAAATCAAATATTTTGTTATTAATACACGAGATTATTTTGTAAAATGTTTAATGTTGTATTTCTATAGCGTATTTAAATTAAATTTAGTAAAAAGATAACTGTCAGTGTCGGCCGATATGCCTATACCTGAAAACTATAGCACACAAAACACATTATTCTTAGAAATGCAAAAATAAAAATTCATAACAAAATTCAATACAAAATTATTTTATTCAATATTTATCTTATTTAGAAAATTATTTTTAGCGCAAAATTTTCATTATCTACAAATTCTAAACGGTTTTTATTGAGAACCTCTTATTGTACTTCATATTCAAAAACAGCACTTTTAATAAATTTTAATCTTCGTATTTCACCCACAAATGAAACACAATATAAGGAAACGCACAGAATATACAGCCATTCGGCTACGGCAGCGATCACGTGCTGAATATACCCGCCGTCGGTGTCCGTCCACTTCTGTCGTTCAGATTTAAATGATTTTTCCCTTAACAATAGCATTGACCAGAAAGTGCACTGAAGGCACACAATCATAGACACCACCGAAACAATTGTGATAAACAGTCGATAATAAACGACAGACATAGAAGTGATGAGAGGACTGAACCAATACGATATCCACGTGTGAATGGCGTACAGAATGGGGCCGATTATAAAGACCATAAACGCTGCTAACATGTGTGGCCACATGTAGTCATGTATATTGAAAATAGCAACAGATATGAGCGAAAGACTCATACAGACTGACAAACCCATTGACACCTTATTGTAAAAAAGTATTTTCTCTTTCATATCCGGTGACAGCGATAGTGATTGACAGTACTCTTCGTTGCCTACAATGGCTACGATCTGATGATATCTCAAAACATGTGTACAGAAAACTATTCAAATTGTAAATTATTAGACAAATGGACTAAACGTTGAATAGGTTTTAATTACATGATATGCTTAACAATGTGATGAGTTCGGCAAAAATGGACGCTTCGGGTGGTTTAATGGCACAATCACTTATGTATGGAAATATCGGCTCAACCACTCCATGACTTACAGCCATTGAATATCTAAACAATTGTTAGTTTGCTTTAATAATTGTTTAATATGTGTTCAAAAGACGATTTAATAAGCAAACTGATCCTTACATTAAAACTAATGTGAATGGAGTGCCAAAAATGACCGAAAGTGGGAATAAAGTCAAATAATTCATTGAATACACAATTATTTTCCTATTATATATAATTTTCAGTTAAACTAATCAATAATTTATTATTATTAGCAAATGTTACGAATTAGTATTGTTAATAATTATTTAAATATTAAACTGGAATTTATTGCAAGATTATAGCAATTATTTTGCATGTTTTACACAATTTAATGATAAAATGACTAAAAAATTAAATAATAAAGTCAATTTAATTGAATTACAATAAATTAAAATATATATGCATTTAAAACACAGTAATAAAGTTAAATAGATTTAGTTTAAAATCTCTTATTATACATTATATTCAAAAACAGCACTTCTAATGAATTTCAATCTTCTTATTTCGCCGATTAATGAAACACAATATAAAGAAACGGTCAGAATATACAGCCATTCGGCTCCGGCAGCGATCACGTGCTGATTATACCCGCCGTCTTTGTCCGACCACTTCTGTCGTCCAGATTTAAATGACTTTCCCTTAAACAATGCGATTGACCAGAGAGTGAAGTGAACCAACGCTATCACAGACACCACCGAAACAATTGTGATAAACAGTCGATAATATGCCACAGATATTGGATGTATGAGTGGACTGAACCAAAACGATATCCACGTGTGAATGGCGAACACAAATGGGCCGATAATGAAGACTATACACGCGGCCGACATATGCGTCTCCAAGAAGTCAAGTACATTGAAAATTGACACAAATATGAGCGAAAGGCACAAACAAACCGATAGACCGATTGCCACCTTATTGTAAAAAAGTATTTTCACTCTAATATCCGGTGACAGCGATAGTGACTGACAGTACTCTTCGTTGCCTACAATGGCTACGATCTGATGATATCTCAACACAAGTGTGCAGAAAACTATTCAAATTGTAAATTATAAGACAAATGAACTAATCATTGAATGCATGCATTAATTACATGATATGCTTAACAATGTGATGAGTAGAGCAAAAATGGACGCTTCGGGCTGTCGAGCGCCACAATCACTGACATATGGCAATATCGGGTGAACATGTTCACGACTTACAGCCATTACATATCTAAACAATTATTAGTTTGCTTTAATACTTGTTTAATAGGTGTTAAACGAACTAAAGTACTTTATAATTACTAAACCTATTCTTACATTAAAACTAATGTGAATGGAGTGCCAAAAATGACCGAAAGTGGGAATGAAGTTAAATAACTCATTTTATAATAAACACTTATTTTTGTTAATTTTCTAATTAAACTAATTATTCAAATATTAAATTGTTATTTATTGCACATTTATAGTGTTTCATGTTTTCACACATTATGTGATTCAATGATAAATAACGGACAAAAATAAATTAAAAAACAGAATTCACGCTAACCTCCAGTATTGTTATAATTGAATTGACAATTAGTTTGAATTTAAAACAGTAATAAAATGTAAATTATAAACAATATAACATTTGGACAGATATTGATATTTCGATAGAATGACAGAAACAAAAAAATCTAAAAAACCTTCGGATGACGTGAAGAACTTTCTTAAGGAGAAAGGGTTAACATTAATGAACTATTTGGATGAGGGAACCACTTGTCAGGTATTTCGGGCGCAAATGACATTCAAAGACACCGAAAGTAAGAAAGAGAAGACACAGTTAGTGGCCGTAAAGATGATAGACTTGGAAGTGCTGGAGGTTAAGGTGAAAGACAAGTACATTCCTCGTGAGGTGTCGATCGTGAATATGATTCGCCACGAGTTTATCATAAGAACCCACACAGTGTTGGAGTGGAAGAAATACGTGTTTATAGTGACAGAATTGGCTGACGGCGGAGATCTGATCCGTTTGCTGGAAAAGGGCGACGGATTGGAGGAGAAGAAAGTGCGCAAATGGTTCCGACAGATCGTGTCTGCGGTCCAGTACTTGCACTCCATAGGCATTGCTCACCGGGACATCAAAGCCGACAATATACTGATCCACAACAACGCCATGAAGTTAACGGACTTCGGTTACGCCCGAGTGATGGTCGACGCGGACGGCACTCGACGCAAGAGTTACTCCAACTGCGGGACAATGGAGTATCAGTCGCCCGAAGCCATGGTTCCGGAGGCGCCCTTCGACGCACTCGTGTCCGACTGTTTCAGTTTGGGTGTAGTTTTGTTTACAATGATTACACGTATGTTTCCCTTCGGCTCCGGACAGAAGTTGCGCTCAAAAGAGGGAAGGATTAAAATGAAGGCCAGGATTATGGAGGAGAAGTGGTCTCTACCCGACGCTCACAAAGACAATGAGGCGCTCTATAGTCTTCTCAAACAATTGCTTAATCCAAACCCTTTCGGCCGAATCAGAAGCACTCAAATATTATCTCATCCGTGGTTTAAGGAATAGATTTACTGTTGAAAATGAACGCAATTCTTCGTTTCAAACAATATTATCAATAAATGTTCAAAACTATTACCAGTTAATAGTTTTTGTTTAAATTTTATACAACTTTTTGTTTCAAATTTTTGTTATTCGTTTTATTTGTTAGCTTATAATTATAATATTAGAAATTGATATTAATAAAATTGATATAAAAATTTGAGTTCTGTATTAGTATAACTTTAATCATTTATTAACAATTAACTTTAATTAATGACAGGTTGATTGCTAGCAAACAAAGTAAAACATATAAACTGAAAGTAACTGTAAATTCAATGAACTCGTAATTCAAACAAAATTTATATTTTGATTTAATTATAGGTTAATTCATTCACAAATTTATTTTAGACAAAATAACCTAATTATTGAGTAATAAAAAACAAATTCATAGTTTAGATCAGAATTAATTAAATCTAAATCATTTTTACATTAATTGATGAATAATTAAATTATTTTCCTATTTTGAGACACATTATGACATTTTTAATATTATTAACTCTTTTATTATTAACTGATTTATCAAATCATTAATACTTTAATTCCCAATCCACTCAAATGATTAAAATTAAGCAAATGTACCCAAACTTACATAATTTTTAACAAATTAATAATTTATAAATGATTTCATTTTATATATAAATGCAAAACATTTGATATTTTAAACCAATTTTTCTAAACATTTCCATAAAAATAAAGTCTACAATAAAAACGGATTAACAAATTGATTAATAAATTAAAACTAGATTTTGTATATATAAACAATTTGTAAGCTTATTTTGCAAATAAAAAAGCTATAAAAGGGGAGATTAAATGTCCATTTGTCTCAATTAAAAGTGTGTTACAAATGAAACGGCAAATGATGTGTAAAATGATTGTCATTTTCATTACTTGTATGTGTTTTGTGTTACAAATATCTGACATGAAGAAAGTGATCCCAAACCGACACGAATGCGTCCAATTGAAGGCCGCCGTCGAGACATCGGGAGGTATGCCATCAATTGATCGCTCATTATATCCACTGAATAATTATAACCAATTCATTGATGTGAATGAATGGTCATCAATACAGGTCTTGAATACTTTGCGTCCGTGAATGGAGTGGTGATTGATGTGATACAAGAGCTCTACAAAGACTGCCTTTTGGCCGAAGAGGGCATCCGTTTTAAGAGATACCGTCAGAGACTCAAACAATTTGCTTTCAAACCGATAGATAATAATAAATTGTAATCACTATTGAAGACAATCCGAATTTTAATTAAAAATATGAATTGTAAAAAACTAACGTTAATATACTGTAGATATAAAATAAAATTATATCAAAAGTATTTTCAATCAAATATTTGTTGATTAATGTATCAATGATTTAAAATAAAATATAAATCCAGCATATTAAATTTATAATTTTATTGTGAGATTATTTACATACTTGTAACAGTAATTACAAACTAATTGTTGAATAATAGATTTATAAATAAATTGAACTGTGTTTGCATTAGAATTACAGCTCAATATTCAATATTATATGTATACAGTAATACAGATATACAGTACTAATATTCTTAATAAATATAATACAGTTATGGATTTATAATTAAAATTAAGTAGAATATTAAAACAAATACAAAAAAACTGAAAATATATTAAACATTATTGTTGTTATAATTGGATTTGGGATTAAGTTTGAGTTCAACTGAAGTCTTATCTCTTTTCTCATGCTTTCGTCCGAAAGACTCGATTCCATACTTTTGTAACTCAAGAATCGGAGACTCAAACACAACGAAGAATAGGAATCCCATTATATATGACATAACAGTAATGTGTATGAAATTAATCAATACGTTAT